TAGCATGCATCATCACTATATGATGTCTTTTCTATCTTATTTATGACTTTGTCTTCTGGTCCCCACAATCCTGCAAGTTCCATGAGGGAGGGATTAGAGTGAGCAGACAGTAAATGAGTAATTGTTTAATCAGGGCCTAAAAGGTTCAGAGACTGTGTTGCGTGCCAGGATTTCTCCCCTGGTCACAGTGGGAATCTCACCTTTCGTATTCTTCTAGACTGGCAGAGAGAGCAGGCTAGAGAGTCCAAAGTAAAGGGAACAATGCAAGGAGAAATGAGGCCTCAAGAGAGGGAAGGAGGAAGTGAGCCAATGTGAGAGACAGACGCCAAGGAAAAACAGGATCATGTGTGTGTGTGTGTGTGTGTGTGTGTGTGTGTGTAGGGGATACTCAGCAAGAACATTCTGGAATATTATTTATGAATAGTGGCTTCACTGGAACTCTAAAGATTTCCAGAAGAGGACGCCTGGCCTAGGCCGGAGGGCCTCGTGCCAAGACAGCTTTGGTGACTGGCCTATCACTGTAGAAGTGCTCAGGTTAAGATGATCTCAGATGAAAGGAATTAGCTCACTCAGAAAGCCTCTCACTCTCCACTCAATCTGCAGGGATTTCCCAGGACAAAGCACCTTTTGGCGTCGGAAAATCAACAGCGGGATCAAAAGGGTCAACCTCCTGGCCGAGTATGAGTAATCACGCACGACACAGGACAGAGCCTTTTTGTAATTCTGGGAATGCGAGAGTTGGCCTTGGTTCACTGTTCACCCATGGCTTATCTTCCTATTCAAGGTTACCTGCAATAAAGGTGTGCCCACAAAGAGACAGAAAATGGGAAAATACCATGAATAGAAAAAGACCATCAATGCCCTCCAGAAGCGGTGCTCCTTTCTTGCAGAAAGGGTGCTGGGGCCTGCACCAGCCAACAAGGTCCTGAAGTTAAAAAGTACCTGAGCCTCACAACTTCTTGTTAAATCAGTTTCCTGACACATGACAACTAGTGATTAATTACTGTGCTGGAAGATAGCACTCCTGTGGAGACTTGCTGGAAATACAGATGCTGTCCATGCTTGATTAGACATTGCTTAAGAAATGCTGAGCACACTGCTGGAGTCTATTATTTCTGGCTATTTCGGTACTGCTGTTATATTTATTTTACATAGCTTCAAACTCGGTGGAACTGAAGAAACCCAATTTGCAAAACCTGCCCCTGCCCAATAGAAGGAATAAAAGCAAAATAAGGTTATAAAAGTGTCTATGCACGTGCGTAACGGCGAAGCTAGAGAAAACAAATGAGAAGGGGGCGGAGACGCTGGAGGAGGAGCAGCGGGGCCGATTCCTCTCAGTGACGTTTTCTGCTCTGATCAAAACCACCGAGAACCACAGCAGAGGGCCGGTGGGAAATGCACCCACGGCAGCCGCTTACAGCCTCAGAGCACTACAGACAAACTCAACTCTGGCTTTATCCAAGCCTTTCACTGACACCAAAATAGGCCTTGATTTTATTATTTTTTTTTAAATTTAAAAAAATTTTGATATGAAAGTTTACAGAAATCTTGGGTTTCTGTTCATTCATTCCTACCTTCCCCAGTTCACTTTTCTCTTTAAAAAAGATTCTTTTATTGTTGCACAGTTTTCTTGCTCCTCTGCCCCCCAGTTGACTTTGCCATGCACTTCTTTTTTTTTTCCTTCTCTTATGTCTACTCAGAAACAACAGGCACTGGGCTCAGTCAGGCACCAGCAAAGTGGACAGACAGGAGATGTCCACTGAAACAAGACTGCTGTTAGTAGGTGCCCTCGAGTTGATTGTGGCTCAGAGCGACCCTGTGAAAGACGCATGTCCACCCTGCCCTGCCCTGTCCCGTCCTCATCATCTGATGAACTCGAGCCCACTGTCACAGTCACTGTGTCCGTCCAGCTGGTGGAGCAGGGTCTTTCTTGCTTTCCCTGACTGGTGCTGTAGCCTGGTGGTGTGATGCAGGGGGTCGCAACCCACAAGTTCAGGAGTTCGAATCCACCAGCTGTGCAAGAAAGACAGGCAGTCTGCTGGAATGAAGATTTACAGCCTTGGAAACTTGACGGAGGGCTGAGAAGAGCAGGAATCAACTCAGCGGCAGTGAGTCATGATTTTGTCCTTTGTTATGCTTATACTAACCCTTGTCATAGCCCACTGGGGAGAAAGTACGTGGCAGAGGAACAGGGGGTCACGATACCAAGGCCTCTCCCGTAGAGTCGCGTGTCTGTTTGTGCCCACTTCTTTAGACATGATCCACAAGGTCCTAGGTGGTGTAAACAGCAGTAACCTAAAAGCTGACGGTTCAAATCTTCCCAGCGGTACAGTGAAAGGACAGCTCTGTGATCTGCATGTGAGGACAGTCCAGTCTAGGAAACTACATGGGATGCTGTTCTCTGTGATGTATGGGGTCACCAGGAGTTGGAACTGACTTGACAGTAAGTTTCTAGACTCTGGACACGAGTCACAAATGCAACAGTGAAAGGGATGACTCGGTCACCATGCAATTATTTCCTGATGAAATGCTCCGTTGGCACGTGGTCCACCAACGCCAACCTCAATACTGCTCAGTCAGCGTTCCATTACTCAGATGCCAGCCTCTGTTAGTGTGCATCAGGCCTGGACTGTCTGCTAGAGCTGTGTTAATTTACTTACTTCAGCTAAATAAGAAAAAAAAATCCCATTTAAAAAAAGATGATTGAATTTAGGAATTATGTTCCTTAGAGAATTCGTAATGGTTCTCTGTATCCCTCAGGCCTCCACGTTAACGTCTCCTTGTCAATGTTATTATGAATAGACTAATTCAATAATGAGGTCATTCCCCATAAGAGAGACCAAATAAATGCGGCATTCAGTCACACCTGGTTCCCCTGAGCTGAGCTACGAAGGCTTTCCACCAAATTTAGTCTAAAAGTGGGAATTTGATGAAAACACACAGAACCACGCGTGTGCAGCTGCACTCCACATAAGAAGGAAAATACTAGGGACAAGGACAGAGAAGCAGAGGCTGAAACAAATGGATTCAGGGGAAAAGGTTGAAAATGAAGACACATGGCCAAATGTTGGGTTTAAAAAAGAAAAAAAAAGATCCTAGCATTAATGTCTCAAAAATGTCCAAGTAATAAGATAGTTCATTATCTCCTTAAATGCCTCACTGTAATAGAACTTCTCAGGGAATCAGAAAACCTAGTGGGCAGACATAGAAATCCTAAACAGCACGTGGGAACAGTAAAGACGATGAACAACTGAAAGGCCGTGGGGAAAAGGAAGGAGCTTATGGAATGATCCACCCAGGAATCAACATCAGTCCAGCAAAGAGTGACCAGGGCTCGCGTCATCTGCCGAGCAGCGGGCCAAGATTCCTTAGAGCGCCAAAGGTCTGAGGGCCTCAGTGAGCTCCAGAGAGTACTGGGCTATATGGAGAGGACACAGTGAACTCTAAATTCTAAAAAAGAGACTTAAGAAAGTGACATTCAGAGCCAAGGGGGAAACGGAAAAAAAAAAGCAAGTGTAAATGTCAATTTGAAGAAGAACGTTTGGCTATCTGACAGGAGGACATGGATAAGGAGGTTTGGCTATCTGACAGGAGGACATGGATAAGGAGGTTTGGCTATCTGAAGGGAGGACATGGATAATGACGAGCAAATGTTTCCCTTGCAACCAAGACAACAAGAGGAGATGATGTTGTTGTTGTTATGTGCTGTCGAGTCACTTGTGACTCATAGCGACCCTATGTCCAACAGCCCTACAGTGTTCTGTTGTACATAGGGTTTTCAGAGGCCTGTGAAGAGGAGATAGACTTCAAATGTAATGAGGCACAAGAGACAAGGAAGTCAGTTCATGTAACTATACACCCAACACAGTATTATTTACAATGACAGAAAATTGGAAAATAATCTGCATGTCCAAGAATTTGTAAATGATTTAATATATTGTGATTCATTCTATGGAGTTTTGGTCAAGCATTAAAAAGAATGTTTTCAAGGAATATTAACAAACGTAGAAGAAAACATGAAGAGTCTTAGTGACAGGAGGAAATGCAATTACATTAACATAAAACTACATTGCGTTCCTCTGTCGCGGCAGCCACAGCCATGTAGCAGCCATGCTGTGCACTACCCCATGGCCACGGGCCTCGACAAGGGCCACAAAGTCACCAAGAATGTCAGTAAGCCAAGGCACAGCCGCCGCTGTGGGAGACTCACCAAACACGCCAAGTTCGTGTGGGACATGACCTGGGAGGTGTGTGGCTTCGCGCCCTACAAACGTCGTCCCGTGGAGCTGCTCAAGGTCTCCAAGGACAAGCGGGCCCTCAAATTCATCAAGAAAGGCTGGGAACACACATCCGCGTCAAGAGGAAGTGAGAAGAACTCAGCAATGTCCTGGCCGCCATGAGGAAGGCGGCTGCCAAGATGGACTGAGTGCGCCCCGCTCTCCCCCGAAAGCCCTCACCAATCTGATGTAATAAAGTGAAAACAACAAAAACCAAATAGAGAAACAAACTACCTTGAGTTCCAATGTTATCGTAAGAGAAATAAGAGGCGTGTGCAAACCCGATGTGTACACAAAGTGTACGCACAGAGACAGAAGAAGGGAGACCCGGCTGTACGAAGACCAGGTCCACATCCACAGCCCAGGAGTAACGCTTATACTCTCTTCAGCAATTCATCGTGCATATTTTTACACAATGAGCAAATATCGTATTTATGATCAATAAAATGGTACTAATATAGTGAAACAAGAGCACAGATTAAACTATAGGAAAATGTACCTGTTTACAGAATGACTGTCAGCATCCAATTCAGAATCTTAAGGAATTGCTTTTCCTATGATCTAAGAACAGCTGGCTGTTAATGAACTTTACTTAGTACAATTTTAAATGAAATGTCCTTGATGGAAAAGGACACAGAGTAAGCCTTTATTTAAGGACCAGAATCCGGTGTGAACAACTTCGTAGGCCCGGCACCAGGAGCGGAGCCCAGTCTTCCCTCTTACCTTGCGAAGTCCAGGTCGGCCTCCCGGGACATGGTGATGTTGGTCAGATTCTGCTGAAGCACAAAAATGTTTCTGCACATTTTCTTGATGCCGGACTCACTGATGCGCCTGAAGTACTGGGCACTGTTGACGAGGATGCAGGAGATCAGGTGGCCCAGGCCTGAGGGGCACAAGAGGGGCGAGAGACAAGGTGAATGAGTGCCAGCCTGAAGATGCTCGCATGCATGGCTGCCCTCGTCAAACCCCCACAGCGTTACGGCTCAGGGACAACGGCTTCCTGACGGCAGCAGCAGCTGATCTCAGGATAATTCCAAAATGTTCCTGTTGTCAGTGGTTACAAATGCGAGGCTTCGTACCGGCCACAAACCTAGTTTGGCCCCAGCTCCAGCACTGCCATATCTATCTATCTATCTATCTATCTATCTATCTATCTATCTATCTATCTATCTATCTATCTATCTATTATCTATCATCTATCCATTATCTATCCATTATCTATCCATTATCTATCTATGTATCTATCTATCTATCATCTATCTATCTTCCATATATTATTTCTCTATCTTTCATCCATCTATCTATCTATCTATCATCTATCTATCTATTATCTATCATCTATCCATTATCTATCTATGTATCTATCTATCATCTATCTATCTTCCATATATCATTTATCTATCTTTCATCTATCTATCTATCTATCTATCTATCTATCTATCTATCTATCTATCTATCTATCCATCTATCTCAGGCCATCACAAGGGCCTACAGAATATGCCAGGTGATCACAGAAATAACTACTTCTTTGCACACAAATTTGGGGGACACAGAGAAAAAGATACATAAATACAATGATCTGTTTGATCCTCCTGTTTCTCCCATAAGACATGGAGACATTGTTGACTTAAAAGCTGACTGGAAATCTAAGTAAAACAAATCAATCTGATATTGGGCTGTGGGCAATAATGCTAGTTCTCCTTAAGAGGGCCAGTGGGGCATATTTGTAAAGTAGTAAAGAGAGAGAAGATAGTCAGAAACAAAAGGTGACAGGACGGGTGTTGCATTGGTTGCCGAGGGCCCGAGGCAGCAATGGATGGCTCTTAGTTCTCTAGAGGACTGTCACCTGTGAAGGTAATCCAAGGGCCCTTACAACAGGCATAGCTCCAGTTTTTGGCCCTCATGGACATGTTTTTTGGTTTTTTTTTTTTTTATTGTTCTGAGATTTTTAATCTTAACAAGTGGAAAGCTGTGGCTGAGCCAGCCCATCAGCGCTACCTTACCCAACAGCACGTGCTCACTTCCCTCTTCCAGGGCAGGTTTTGGTCATTTTCATGATATTTCAAGCTTTATCATCAAGATACTGCACATACACAGACCACAGTGTCAACACAGCTCTACTGTGTGGTGGGGAACATGCCAAAGTGTGAGTGTGTTATTGTGATATGAGCTTCATTGTGGTGGTCTGAAACCGAATCTACCACATCTTCAGGGTCGACCTGCACACAAACAAACTCCCAGGGCCCATTCCAGGTGTGCGCTGTCATGTAAATGTGAGGGAGTCCAAGTTCAGAACGATGAGAAGTCCACTGTGGGGGGTGGGGGACGGACCATTTCTAGACGTTTATTCTAAACACGTGGAACTGAGTGGAAGCTGCCTCCTGCTTTCGCCTTTATTCTCACAAAGTTGGTTCTAGCAGGACTTGTTAACTGGTATCCACAGCTGCCTCCCAGTCTCGGTGGACTGCTATCATTGCACCTTCCTCTTCTAAAGTCCCAGCCCGCTCTGGAGAGTCTTCAAGGTTCATACCAGGGCCCAGGTCCAATGGCCGCCTCTGCGCTCATGATGCTTCCTTTGATGAAAGTGAAGGTGGTAAAGACAGGGAGGATTGTGCCTTGCTGCACACGCCCCTAGCCAACAGGTCCTTCAACCCGCAAACTCATTTGTTTGCACACGTCTTTGCAAGTGAAAAAATACATGTTACAGAAAGGAAGAGAAGCATACATGTGGATTCTGCACTTCAGGCCAGATACTTCACTTCCAGGAATAATCTCCGAAGTCAAGTCTGGGCACAACTCTGATTTCCTAACTTCAGCTAAAATTTTGGTTATATTTTTATTTTTGCCTATAAGCCCATCAAGTTCCAAATCATTAGTGAAATTATATTCTCACATACAAGCACCCAACAAATGGTAACAGAGTCAGGCAGTTTTCTGAGCAATGAGAGCATAAAAGGAGATAATGGATGGATTATAATAAAATGAAAATTAAACAATTAAACTTATTACAAGTAACATAAGATGGGTGGGAATCCTATAGATTAGGATGCAAAAATATTCATGTATGTGAATCTCTTCTCCCAGGAAGCAGTGGTATAGCACGGGGAGAGAGGAGGCAACAGTAAGCGGGCATTGTTTGTGGAGAATTAAAAGACAATAACGAAACCAATTCAAAGCCCGTCTACATTTTTACTATCGCCATGCACCAGCAATCCTAAACAATATCAGTGATGAAATACTCTCTCTGCCAGTAGAGAGGACTGCGGCATCTCTCTCTCTCTCTCTCTCCCAGAATTGAGCTACAAGGCTGGAAGAGTTAGCTTTTCAAAGACGAAGTCCCTAAGTTATGATTCTTTGGCTAAAATCCCATCTATAGCAGAGGGCTGCCCTTGTATTTCAACAAGGTGTTACTGCAATAGGCAAGAAATAGAAAATTTCTCTAATAACAAATTAAAAGGGAAACATGTCCTTGGAGAATAGGACAGTGGAGGGAGACCTCCTTATCAGGCTGGAAGGTCTTAGCATGCTGCTGTTGTTATATGTATGGTCGAATTGGAATCAACTCATAAGTGACCCTCCAGCAGGTTTTCAGAGACAGTAAAATCACATGGGCAGAGCCTACTCCTACATTCTTAGAGTAGCATGACAATTCTCACGAAGACCGCCGTATTAAGTCTAGATACTCTAACTGCTGTGGTTGGCTTTCACTCTGCATTCTCTGTTGTTGTTACATGCGGTTAGTTTAGTACGACTCATAGAAACCCAATGAACAACAGATCTGATCCTTGCTCTATCCTGTGCCGTCCTCATAATCTCTGATGAACCTGAGCCCATTTGTACAGTCACAGTGTCAATTAATCTTGTTGAGGGTCTTCCTCTCTTTCACTGACCCTCCACCTTTCCAAGCATGATGTCTTTTTCCAATATTGGCCCCTCTGAACAACATGGACAATGCATGTGAGATGAAGCCTCATCATTCTCACCTCTAAGGAGCACTACGGCTACACGTTCTCCAAGACTTACTTGTTTGTTCTTTTGGAAGTCCGGGGGATATTCAGTACGCTTCTGCAACACCACAACATAAAGGCCTTAATTCTGTCATCTTTAGTTACTGTCCACCTTTCAGGTGTACAGCAAAGAACTGAAAAGACCATGGCTTGAATCAGGTGCACCTTACTCTTTAAAATGACTTCACTGATCCTTAGCACTTTGGAGAGATCCCTGACAGTAGATATTCCCAACGCAACACATCTTCGGATTTCTTGATTGCTGGTGCCAAGGGTGTTTATTGTGGATCCAAGTAAGATTAAATCACGGGCAATTTCCATCTATTATGATGTTCCCAATTGGCCTAGTGGTGAAGATTTTTGTTTTCTTGATGTTGAGATGTAATCCATATTGAAGACTGTCTCCTTTGATCTTCTAAAAGCGAGTGTTTCAAGTCCACTTCACTTTCAGCAAGCAAGGTTGTGGCCTCTGAATAATGTCGGCTATTGATGAATCTTTCCTCTGATCCTGAAGCCTCATTCCTTTTCATAAAGTCCAGCTTCTCAAATGATTTGCTCAGCATACAGGCTGAACAGGGATGGAGAAAGCATATAGCCTTGAGGCACATATTTTTTTATTTTAAACCACCCATTAACATAAAAATGGGGCCTTGTGATTGTGTATCAAAGATGATGTCCTTTCCCAACCAACAAGGTCAGGAATAAGGTGAAAGAAATCTTAGGATTGAGATATGGGTGGAGGAGAAAAAAGGATCGTTCTCTATGTAGACTTAAACTTTCTGTAAATATTCTAACTAGTGAGTACAAAAGTAGAGAATATAGCTAAACCATCCTGTTCTAATTGTTAACCTTTAAAAAAAAATAAAATTGCTGCTAAAAAAAAAGATGATGACCTTTTTTTTAGAATAAATAATTTTATTATTATTAATGTTAATGAAAATTTACAGAGACTTTGGGTTTCCATTCATTCATTGTTACACTTTTCTCCCTGCCCATCCCTCCCTCCCAGTATACTCTTCTCTTTGAAAAGTAAAAGTTCTTTCATTGTTTTACAAAGATGACCTTTTTAATGAGCAAGAAGGAAAACTCTGAACTGTTTCAAACCTTAACTGAGTTACTGCTAGGCTTGCTCTGAGTCACAGACTTCCTTATTTTCCTGTTTTCTTTTCGTCTTTATGTATGTGCTGAACCTTACCCTCTGAGAGATGGTTCAGACCAAGGAAATCAGCGGCCAGCAGATGCAGGTGTCACAAGGTCTGGGAACACCTCCTCAATGAGGAGCCTCGGCACCTCCGAGTTCTCCCTCTTAACACCCTTCAACTCTGCGACGAGATTTCAGGTACCATGTGACTGTGTGCCCTTCTAGAGGACAGCCATCTTGAAAGGGCATGTTTTGGGGTGACCAAGCATCCAACCAGACAGACCCAAAAGATTCCATCTTAGCGGCCAGCTGTGTGCACCTACCGATTTGTCTAATCTCTACTTTTCTGACGATAAAAATGCCTGCCTTCCTAAAGGTGTTCGGTAAGCATGAACTCTTCCCCACACCCTTAACCTGGCCAATTAATGTCTCCTCAAAGCACTTCCTTAATGAGAACGACATGGGAAGCTCTTACTCCTCCATCTCCTAACAAGGTAGTTTACGTATGTTATACGTATTTATCACATATCATAAAAATGCTGCCGTTTCCAGTCCAATCCTTGTCTCGAAGACTGATACTCTGCCAACCGGGAGCAGAATCACCTTCCTCTGGTAACACTGCCACTTGAAAGGACAAGATATTTAGAAATACGTTAGGGTAGTGGGAGAATGGGCCATAAAGCTCTGGGGACTCTGCATGTTGGTGAACAAGGCCTGCATGAATCAAGGTCAAGAGCAAGGGTCACTGTTCAGTGGAAAATGAACTCCCAGGAGATCATGGACCTTTGTGTTCAAGGAGTTAGCTGGCAATGAACGCTTTAATGACCTGTAATTAACTGCAACCTAAAGACATCCAGGGTATTATCTTGGGAATGTATTTCCATTTTTTATGACATTTTAATGGGATATAGACATTTTTATTTTCCTTAATGCACCTTCTTGCTCTAACATAATTGTCATAAAGAAAGCACGGACTCTACCATCTCCATCTTCAGGCTGCTGTCTTGTTTTGGACCATGTTGTTGGTATGTGTACATTGAGTTGCTTGCCACTCACAGCGAGTCCATGCACAACAGCTGTGAACTCCGCCCTATCTGGAGCCAGTCTCACTGTCTCTGACACGCCTATCCCATAATGCTCTTTGGTAATTTATGAAAATGAAGTATTTCTAGCAGCTGCAGAGTTGGCTCCGATTCTAGGTGACCTTATGCATCGAGGAACCACATCTTGTCTTCTCCTGAGACTTCTTCAGGGTCAATGGTAATGCTGAGCCTACTGTTTTGGTTCTTCTGTTAATTCATCTCATGAAGGGTTTCCCTCCTTTTTGCTGGTTTTTTTGCTTTGCCAAACACAGTTGTACTTTTCTAGCCATTGGTCGTTTTTTAAAAATTTGAGTTTTAAAAATTAATCTAGGTTCTTATTGACTTGAATTACCATTAGTCTAATGCTGAGAGAGAACACAATTCCGTTTGGCCCACAGGTCTAAACAGACATGACATCCAACAAGAAAAAAGGAAGTATAATTGGAAGTCTTAGCAGGGGTCCTGTGGGCAAAATTCAGCATGAAAAATTAGTTGGCTGGCAACACATTCTACAAAATATTGAGTCTGATGCTTTTAGATGGTAGCGCCTCTCAGGGCCTTCTTGCCTGCCAAGCCCCTGAAGGAGTTCGTGGAGAAAGACTTCCTAAAATCACTAAACCAGAGGTTTCTATTTGCCTCCGAGAATAATGCATTCGGTGAGAGGAAAATGTCCCCTTCCAGTGATAATTTTAACCAGTAAGAGCTCTTTCAGAGTTGTTTCTGCATAGGTTTCCCTCCCCACCTCCAGCTCGGCTTTGTAAGCTCTCTGTGAGTGAATTCATGGCCCTCTCTTCACATTCACCCAAATCTCTGGAGTGGTACGGCGGAGAGGCCGTCGGGCTGCCATCTGCCTTATCTCGGATTAAATCTCCTTATCAACCAGAAGCAGACGGCAGCCATTCTGCTGTCTACCTCGTCCTGCACAGAGGAACAAGGTATTAGAGCTTTAACTAAAAAAGAAAGAAGGAGTTTAAAATTTTCCTCTAAAAGTTCTAAAATATCAGTACTATCAAGTGTTAGGAGAATTCCCGCCCTGGTCCTCCCGGGCACCGAGGTGGGGTCTGACCTTCAAAGATGTACTGGAACTTGTGTTGCTGGAGGCTGGCGCTCATGGCCTCTTCGATGGCACTGATGTCTTTGTTGAGTTTCACCACCAGAGGGTCATAGTCCATACTTTCCACATTAGCAACGATTGCATAGTTTCCTTCCTTTGCCAGAGAGATGAGGTAGTGGAAACAGTGAACTCTGAGGAGAGAGAGATGGGAGAGCAGTTAATCTCATCGTCCCCATGAGAATGACAATTTTTTTCACTAGTTTATTTACAAAATTCTAATACAAATATGAACAAATTCTTTCAATTTCCCTCAACCCCCACCCATCAAATTGTACAACCCAATGATCCTCTCTTCCCCCTGTACATCCACATCCCTCTGCTTCTAGTCTCTCTCACCCCTCCTGGATCCTTATACTCATTCTACAATAACGGTTTTATACAATATTTATCCTTGTGGGACTAAGTTAGATCATTCAGCACAATGCTACCTAGTGCCTCCCAAGTTAGGTAATAATTAACAAAGTTATTGCTCCTGTGTGCTGCATATTTCACTGTATGAATGGACCATAATTTCTCAATCCATTCGTTTGTGGCTGGACATTTGGGCTGTTTCCATGTTCTTGTGATGGTGAATAATGCTTCTATGAACACTGGTGTACAAATCTCTGTTTGTGCCTCAGTTCTCATATACTCGGGGTATATTCCAAGTAGTGGAATAGCTGGGTCATAGGAATTTCCATGTTCCGCTTTTTTTAGAAAGCACCAAACTGCCTTCCAGAATGGCTGCACCATTTTACAATCCCACCAACAATGTATAAGAGTTCCTTTCTCACCACATCCTCTCCAGCATCTATTACTTGCTGCCCTGTTAAACTCTGCCACTCTTACTGGAGTGAGATGGTACCTCATTGTGGTTTTGATTTGCATCTCTCTTATTGCCAGTGATTTGGAGCATTTCTTCATGTGTCTGATTGCTAAGAATGACAATCTTATAAGACTATCAAGGTTTGAACTCCAAACTGTGATAGTCTTATAACCCTCCAAGTAGGCTAGAATCCCAACTTCTGTACCTGTGAATTTAATTGCCATGAGGACTAGGTTTTATTTCTTTTGTTACTTGAGCCATGACAATGAGGGTATGACTTTTGGGATCCACAAAGCACAGAATAGACACAGGAAGAAGCAAGGACCTACAGAGGGGGAAGACACATGCCATGTGGAGATAGCCAAGGACCTAAGGTGGATAAGCTAAACAGGACTGGAAATCTGGCCCCAGAGACACTAAGCGGCAGCTTTCCTCTCATCCTTAGCCCTGAATTGGAATGTTTAGGCTCATAAAGTGCAAGAAAAAAAGACTCCCCCCCGCAAGTCACACACTTATGGTCATTCTGTGACAATACCACTAGTAACTAAGACAAACATCCAAATATTTGAAGCAGTGCGCTGCAAACGTGAAGGCAGTCGGTTCGAGTCTACCAGCTGCTCCGTGGGAGAAGGAAGGGCAATCTCTTCCCCTGCTATTAACTGCCTCTGAAAACATGCCAGAGAGTCAGCTATGGGTCGGTTCTGACTTGATGGCACGCAACAACAGCAACAGTGTCCCTGGAAGTTCTCAAGGACTCCTCCTCATTCCCCTCAAATCCATCTTAGATATGTCCTGGAGGTCAAGTGTGCGACCTTGAGGAGGTCTGCTTCTGGGGTCCTCAGATGGGGTGAGGAACAGAAAATTTCTGGAAGTCCTTTCATTACTAGGATTGAATGCATCGTGGATTGAGTATTAGAACTTTCAGTTGATGTCACTGTGGGTGAAGTTAGGGGTGATGGACATAGAGTTCATACTTGTTGGCTTTGGAATAACACTGCTTGACTCTGATTCTCCTCTAATGTTTACTTGCCATTTGATGTTAGGAAAGTTACTTTCTCTCTCAGCACCTTGGAGTACTCTTATCTGTGAACTGCAGCTGGACAGCAATACAGGCCCCGTGAAAAGGTTAGCAGAGTGCACGGCACTGAGGAAGTCGATATCATCGCTGTCACTCTACTTAAGACTATTCATTAGTTTTTGTACTAAAATGTGTTTACCTTATTTGAATACTGACGAGGAACTGACGTCTTTGAATTGTGCTGGGATCAGTACTGAATCTATCACGTACAGCCAAAAGTACAAACAAACCTGGCTCGGAAGAAATACAGTTAGGGTGCTCCCGGGGGGCAAGGGCAGGGAGACCCTCTCTCACATACTGTGGGCATATTGTCAGGAGGGGCTAGTCCTAGGAAGGAAACACCACCCAAAGGCGGAGGGTCGGAGGAGGAGAGGAAGACCCTCAACAATGAGATGGACCGATACAGTGACTTGGTAAGTGCCGTCGAGTCGTGGATGACTCACAGGGTCCCTGTGAATGAAAGACCTGAACACATATAACTTTCATAATTTCTACAAGTTCGGAGCATTTCTGGAGGCAAGCTATTTCAGAAGTGGATGCCACTCCTGCGTCGAGCGTTCAGGTCTTTTATTCATAGGGTCATTATGAGTCGTCTATGACTCGACGGCACTTAACAACAAGGACAACATAGAGAGAGCTTAGTAGGCCCAGGAGACAGAAACTGATGCTACCAAGCCAAAGGTGGGTGATTTTAATCTGCGTCCCTCAGGCCTGGTTTTAACTGTTCTCTGTCAAACATTCTTCTAAGTGGTGTAGCACTGGTCTGTCTATTCGCTGTACAGAGGTAACTCATGGTTGCTGTGATGCTGAAGTGACACTGATGTGTCAAATGCAATAATGGTCACCCATGGTGGACAGTGTTTTGAGAAGCTCCCTGATTAAAACAAGCTTGGAAGCATGAGTGGCATTCACTTCCGAAAACCCTATGAGTACAGTGATTACAACAAGAAAAATTTTCATGTGAGGCTCTAAGTCCCAAGAGAAGTGTTCTTTGTAAACTGGTTCAGATGGACTGTTAAGTTTTGCCTTTTCATCAGCACTGCCTGCAAGGTCCAACTGCTTGGCATCCCCAAAAGACTTAGTATTATCAGGTTTTGAAGAAAGTTTAATTTTTACCAAGTTCTACTTATTCCAGTATGTACATAGTTGTATCCCCCTGTGGTGGCTGAGTGGCAAGAAACTGCGCTGCAATCCCAAAGGCACATGGTTCATGGCCACCAGATGCTTCGCGGGCGAAGGATGGGCAACCTCCTCCTGCGTGCTTAACTGACCCTGAAAACCTGCCGGAGGGTCAGCTATGGGTCGGTTCAGACTTGATGGCACGTGATGACAACAACAATGTTCCTAATTATGTGTATTTTCATGTACCTATTTTCCATCTTTGTTATCACTTTGTTTGTTTGTTTTTCTTGTTGTGTACCGTAGAACTGGATCCAACTGGCACAGAAGGAGATTGCTCCTCCTTCTCCAGCAGATCATATGGTGGATTTGAACCGTGTGCCTTCAGGATTACAGTGCAGCTTCTTGCCATTTGGCCATCAGAGCTCCCAACCATCCATGTAAACTTGGATACAACATTTGCCCATATTTTTGTTCAATTTTTTTCAAATGGGCTATTTCTTTTTAAATTATTATGAGGTGTTCTGTGTGTGTATGTGGTTTGAGTTATAGTTTGCAGAGAAAATCGGTTTTCCATTCAACAATTCCTACACATTTTGCTTCGAGATATTGATCACAGTCTCTACATGGTGCCAGCGCCCCTCCCACTTTCTCCATTGTTGGGGGTTTCTATTTACCCTCCTTTACTATCCCTCTCTGCCTTCTCCCCCTGTAAATGATGAATTCTTATTAATGAGTTTTGAGAGTTCTTCCTACATTCTGGAAATCATTGTTGTCATTCAGTTGTTGCTGTTAAGAAGTGGTGAGTCGGAACCGACCACAGTGAACTCTCCAGTGGTTTTCAGAGGCAATAAATCCCACAGGAGGAGACTGCCCATTTCCTCCCGAGGGGCAGCTGTGGGTCCAGGCACCATCTACCTTTGCATCTGCAGCATAATTTCTTATCACTACGCCACCAGCACTCCCATTCATTCTGGATACAAGCCCTTTGACAGACAGCTGCCTTATAAACGTATTTTTCAAATTTGTGCCTTACTTTTCTGCGTTCTTAACAATGTCTCTGGAATTGCTTTTAATTTTGATGATGAAATCTGAGTTATCTATTATGAATGGTGCTTTTGAAATTCTTTCTAAGAAAGAACTTCCTAGGCAAAGTCACACACAGTTTCCTGTAGAAGTTTTACAGTTATTAAGGTCTAGCATCCGTTTTGATCTAAAGTTTGTATATGATTTGCTATGTTCTTATACTTTGTTTATGGAAGGAGATCTAAATATCTTCAATCAAATTTCTTTTCACTGATGGTGCCCATCCTCCCAGTTGCTAACTAATGGCTCATTTGGTGAATAAACATGCATTCTGACATTCTCCACCTCAGTGAACAGTTTTGGTTAGGATACCAGTGATAGAAGCAGGGGACAGACAGCCCTCTCTGGGATGTGGTTCCTCATACAATGAAAGGTCTCTAACCCTGGAGTGAGAGGCATGAGTACAAAAACTGATTGTTACTGAAGCTAAACAGGCACAAACTGAGGCTTGTACACCAGTGTTCACAGCAGCATTATTCACCATCATAGGAACACGGAAACAGCCCAAATGTCCAACCACAAATGAATGGATTGAGAAATTATGGTTCAATCACACAACGGAATACTATGCAGCACTCAGGAGCAGTAACTTTGTAAATTGTTACCTAACTTGGGAAGGACCTGAGAGCATTATGCTGAGTGAACTAACTCAGTTCCATAAATATAAACATTGTATAACACCGCTATTATAGAATAAGGATCCAGGAGGGGTGGGAGAGGCTTGGAGCAGAGGGATGTGGATGTATAGGGGGAAGAGGGGATTAATTACTGGGTTGTCAAATTTGATGGGGGTGGTGACGGAAATGCAGAGAATTTGTTCAAATTGGTATTTGAATCTTACAAATAAAGTAGTAGAAAAAGAAAAAAAATGAAAAAATTTCAGTTGTGATTTCAGTAAAAATTTACAGAGCAGGTGAGGCTGACGTGCCACCACTTCCGCACACAACGCTCAGTGAGATTAGTGACATCTCGCACGTTCTCTGCCATTGCTTTCTGGCTGTTTCGCCCCCAGGGCTCTAGTTTCTCTGCTCTCTTCTCATTTT